CTTTAAACTCATTAATGCATGACGGCTCGATAAGTCCAGATGCTTCTAATATCCATGAATTAATTCAGTATAACCGAGTCCGAAAAGGCCTTTTGTTCTGTCTCAGGTCTTCGTGTCACGTGTAATACCCACGTGGGTCTGTCTGATCATTCCGCGGATTGTAATGATTGAATCAAGGCGGAAGATTTTATGGCAAATAATTATGATTTGAGTTTCATGTTTTAAATGTTTCAAGGATTTCAACTTGGAGCAGAATGCACCTCAATATTGTTTTCAATTGTAACATCACTTGCCCCAAACATCTCCTCTGTGCTTCTTGCTTAAAAAGCCGAGTAAATTCTCATCTCAGTGTCGGAGAAAACGACACGATACGATACGAAAACGATACGAAGTATAAAAGTAAAACATCTGCACATTCTAGTACACATATTTGGGCTTGAGGTTGTCAATCAGAAATCCCACGAGGACGAGTTAGGGATCTTGATACATAAAGCTGTTGTTCCAGGTGCCATCTGATTATTTTCGGCCACCAAGAGTGTCAGGAAATCAGTGATAGATGTTTGTGGATAACCTTATCACCCCCTTTAAACTGACCACAAAGATGGATGGTCCCCGCTGGAACAAAAAAGAAGCTCCATTCATTTAACATCTGGCACAGCCAGTGTAACCTGATCTTTCAGCTTTTCTAAGTCTCTACTAATCTTCAATCACATGAGTGATAATAGCCAAACCGTGAGGTGAAAGAAAGTGATTTCAAAAAGGGGAATACACTGCAGAGGAGCCAAAAGTCAGGAACAGATGCATGTGTCCTATACTAGTTGTTATAGAAAGGATCGGGGGAAGGGGGGGAGGGGGGTCATTGGAGTCTTCACTTTGCCTGTTATTGGGAAAACTACTTTTCTCAAACAGTTGCTCTATTAATTCAGAAGCGTCCTCTCTTTTCCTCCTCGTGTCCGTTCGACTCGGCGTGTGTGTGTGGTCCGAATTGGGTGAAAGACACAACTAGGCATCCGCAGAGGAGTAACATAACCTTCCTCGCAGTGTGCATGAGACACACCATCTGTGGTAGTGACGAGTAACGGAGTCACCGTCTGTGCAAATGCACTCCCGTGCAGTCTGGGACCGTTTGAGCACTGCTCTGGTTGGCGCGGCACTGGCAGTGAAACACCCTTCTCAGTATGCACACATGCACTATGCGTCCGAACTTCTGTGCCGGATTCACAGACACTGGACTCCCTCTTTGTCCCCCAAACCGGAGATGACAACAGAGACTTCTTCACTGTGACATTTCAAAAAAACTCCTGTGCCAACGTGGGCCGTCCTGCAGAAATGAAAGCTTTCATTAATCGCAAAAAGTCTCTTCAAATATTTGACGTATGAGACAACACCACATGTGGTGTGGAAGAAGTTCCTCAGGTCTGCCCTTGGTCTACTGAATGGGAAGAAAGAGGAAGTGTACCAGGGGCTCACAGAGAACAGCAAGCACTTTGTTCACAATCAAGTGCAGACATGACGTCACTGTCCTGGGTGCAGCACGTACGGCCTGATGCTCCGTCATTGGTGGGAATGTTTGAAGGTGCAGAATGAAACCCTGAAACGCGTGTGACAAGAATCATTACTGCTCACAGTAACTCAAACTCTAGTCGCCACTTCTTGCCCGCCCGAGAGTGGTTTTCTTGTGTTTGTCTGTTCGGGCCAAATCAAATGTGATGACACGGTGAGAAGAATAAAATATATATAAGTTTTGCAGGGATTATTTCTTGCTTCAGAGTTTCTGTTTGTGTCAGGTGATTGACAGTAGAGTGGAACACAATGCACACCCCAAAACAAGATGTATCAACATGTGCAGTGAAGTAATAATGATGAAGGATTTATGTTTGCTGTGATGGATTATCCACCCTGTGGGAAAGCTAAAACTTAAAAGCTGTAAAAAGCTGCACACGAATAAATGGCAGCTAACATAAATTGAAAGAAGGATGGCAATGCTCTAATTTCTCAAATAATACTAAAGTCAAAAAGAGAAACAATTAAGACAACTAATTAAAACTAGAATTGCCGGCTCCGGCAAACAATCAAGTTGTTGAATACCAAATCAAAATATCTGAATAACGGTTACACGGCATTTGGTGACCTCATAAATCCCATCTTGGCCTCGTCCCAGCTTCAAACTGAATGAGGTCTAATCAGGCCAAATAAATGGAAACACCTGTGCACATCGCGGGACCTCTAAATCCTCCGTGGACAAAAATCCCCTGAACTAACGAAAGAGAGATGCATCACATGCTCTTCTTTGAAGCGAAGGGAAATGAGGCCACTGTGCTCTTTGGTTTGTCATGCAGAACTTTGAGGTCTCTATTTGGCAGAGAGCAAAGCTGTTAAATGCTTCAAACAAATATGTACAAAGCCCCTCTCGCTCCCATAGTTCTGGACCCTTGACAGCAATAATTATAGGTACAATAACTAATCCCTCATTAAGGTCGCGTCTAGGTAGGAAATCAATGTACCTTTGCGTGTAAGTGGAACTGAGAGCTGTCCGTCTCCCATGTTGAAACAGCACAATCAATTCATCTTGAAAGAGTGTTTGAGAAGTAAGAGACTCGGCACCCCCAGGGCAGAATAACTGTGTTTTATGAGCAGGGGCTTTGGTGTGTAGGTGATTGATCCAAGCTACTTCTCTGCTGAAGAAATCTCATTTCAGGTGATGCAGATCACGAATTTGAGGACAAAATAAATGAGACATTCTCATTCTACTGGGAGGGAAGCAAAGACTTAAATGGTTCAGAAGAAAATGAAAATTTTCGCTCTCTAATTCTCCCTAAAAACGTTGACAGGGCTGTTTTATTCCTGCAACTTTTAATGTTGATTTGAATTACAAATGCAGATGCACAGTGCAAATGTGTACTTTTCCCAAAGCTCCCTACGGCTTTGGGTCTCTCTTTAAAGATTCATAAGCATTGTCAGAGCCATGCAGGCTCCCCACATTTAAGCACTCCAAGTCCCAATAGAGATGGTAATATAGTGTTCCAAATATTGTCACTGCAAGCTTGTTAGGGAGTTGAAATTACAATCGTTGAGGCGTAAAGACATTTTGCAGTTACAGTCTTTCTGATTTGAGACCTAAGCGGAAAAAAAGAGGAAAAAAACAACTTTAAATATCTTTGGAAATGCGTAACGTTGCCATTTTGTGTAAGTCCAGTGAAGCATGATAGTGGGGCGGCCGTGAATGGCAGTAAAGATAACTCCAGCAGGCTGAAATGGCTCTTGAGAGGTCTTCATTCTGTCTTTGCTACACAGCTGGATCATCCTATTGGACCTTTCTTTATGCTTTACAGACGCTGACACACGTACAGAAGAGCACACACCCTGAGCGTGTCTGTTCGAACATGGTGACCCCTTGTTATCTGCTCTCCGCCAGCGTTGTTTGCATGGATCATCTGGAAACTCCATTAGCCCGTTCGGAGACAAACTAAACGGGTGAATCAACACACTCCAACTCTACTTTTGATCCACTGACTTTCTCTGCCACTGAACAATATAATTAACAGATGGTGAAAAAGTTGGGGAAGGCACGGACACGATAATCCACTTTTTATACAAAATGCATCTATATATGTTCACCTATAGTCCACCTGTTTTTCTTGCGGTCTTTTCCATCTATTAACGTTAGAAATATGTTCATTGTTCCGATCTAATTGCGGCTAAGGGTCAATATGGTGAATTTTGGTGAGTAACCGTCTAAAGCTATCTGACTTTGGAAGGAATCTACAAAAATGGCCGGCCTGTCTGTCTGCATTTTATTGTATAACCAATTAGAGGTGTGCTGTCAAAATGAATTTGGACAATGAGCTCTCAAACTTTCTGCTCAGGGAACCAGAGATGGAAAAGGTTTGAGTGCCCCAAATCTGCCTTGCCTCAGAGTTTCCTGTATCAATATCAATCTCTTGTTTGATTTTTTTCTGGGATACCTGAAACACTGTCAGCGCGGTCATCCCCTTTAGAAGGGTTATTGGAACATCGATCTTGGGTCTCACATTTAGGCTTTTAACACATTTGATTGTGACTGACCTGAATCAGAAGAGTGACATTTCACAACAGAAGCAAAAAGTAAAAAAGAAATGAGACCAAACTGGACCACAACGATTTCCCAAGTGAAGACAAATATGCGGCCCAAACTAAACTGGGACAAAACATGGTTTTGAACACTTCAACTTCAGCTGAAACTCCCATCTCACTTTCTTTCTTAAAGCTCTCTGCGACAAAAACACACACACACTTCATATTATATAAGCAAAACTCAATGACAAGTGTGAGACTTTGAGATTATGATGAACAGGATTAAAATCCTCATGAAAACAAAGTACAGAATGGAACCATAAACCTGTAATTTTGGGGTAATATTATATTAATTCTAAGATGAAAAGAAATCCTATGGAAATAGAAACATAATAATATTGGAGACTGTTAATACTAGAGGTTTAGAAAAGGTGGTGTCAGTGCTAAAGTTGGGGAGGAGGGCCCCATGTCAGAATTATTCAATAAATAATGATGATGCATTCATGTGTTTATTACTTTAATATTTAAGAATGGGTTGATTTGAATAACCCTCACCCAGTATTCTTTTAAGTTGCTAACAATTAAAGTGAACAAATAACGGTAGCATGGTGGCAATGGCACAGTAGTTCCTAGTGGAGTAGAAGAATAGAGTAGCAGACACAACGGGAATAAGTAAAGAGAACATTGCAAATACATCACTTGAATAAATGTATATAGTTTCCACCAATGGCTATAACGCTGTAAAAAATACCACGCAGCAGGTTTGCATCCATACACATGAGGGCCTGAAGTAATAATATAAAAAATCCGGCTGCTTTATCGGACTGTGGAAGTCCCTCCCCGGGCAAACTGGTCCACCCCCCCCCAGGGCTCCCCCACCACCTCATCCGACCCCCCGGCAGCAGTCAGCATCTCTCCAGCAGCAGACCCGAGGACTTCAGCCACCATCTCGACGCGGAACAGAAGGCTCTCTCTCCAACAGCACCGCACCGCGCAGCGCACAGGACCCCCCCCCCCACACACGTTTTTACGCATGGCTCTGGCTTTGCGCAAAAGCGCGATTGTGGCACTGCATCCGAAAGGCAAACTGGTGGGATTTTAACAAAATGAGACAGAGCAACAAGAACCTGAAACGTTTTTAAGGATTTGTTTTGAAGACGTTTGTCTCCTTGTGCCGGTGATGATCTTTACGAGCATTACAGGATTTCTTCCACTTGCCGTGTAACCGTCCTGCTGAAGGCTGCGTGGGTCCGACGCTTCATCTGAAACTCGCATTTCACAGAGATGGATCTGTGGGGAGTTTATCTGTTTCATCTCATAACTTTAGGTAAGGCAGTACTTTTCTTCCACCCCCCCCAAAATGTGAATGTTTACGAAAATAATCCAACCTGCCCCCCTTACGCACCTTACAGATGTGATTCATCTCATGAAATGAACAAAATACAAGGACTTAATCGGTCGTTAACGTCAAGGGGCGCAACTTTTGTGTCATTTAATTACTAAACAGCAAAAAATTGGGGTTATGGAGGTGTGTAGAAGAGGTGTACGCGTGCGTGCTTGAACGTGTGCACGTATGCATCGTGATTCTGTATGTGTGCACTTGACCAAGAACCAGAATTGCTTTTCTACTGGGTCAATGTGTGGATTACATGTTTGTGTTGTTGATTACGCATGTTTACTCTCTGCAGAATCCCATGTCCACATTGCATCATATTTGAAGCATACACAAGTTGTATAAGAATTTAAAGTTTCATCTGACACTTGCTTCATTGTTTAACCCCAAATGATATCTCCCATCCCCAGCAGTGAATAAGTCATTGCAGTGTCACTGAGCCACCTCCTCTCTATGCAATTGAGAAAATCTGGAATATTTAGTCTTAAAAGAGGAGAACGGCCTGTTTTTGGCACCTTGTCACTTACGCAAATGTGTCAATCTCAATCCCGCTGCCACAGTCTTAACTGTGACTAATATAATTATACCCCCACTAATGGCCATCGCTGCAGCAATGATCATTTTCCTTTTAATTTGGACCAACTTTCCTTCTAAACAAGGGCTGGAATATGCATCATATCTTACCCCTTTATTCCTTAATATCCCATTTGAAAGGTCTTAATTAGAGTCGGGGTGGCGTAGGAAATACTGAATAGGAAAGAATGCCTTTGGCTTTTTGAAGCTTTTCTCTCCATGGCGGCGTTTGACAGTCACATTGATTACGATTTGGCTCGTAATGCCTAAGTAGAGGCACATGTTTTAAATGTATGTAATAGATACATTACTGATGAACCAGATGTTGGTTCTAGTGTGTGTAGCCATCTGCTCTAATCAATTATCCAACACCAAACTGCAAAGGGTCAGAATCTGTTTGGATGACTCAGATCTATTTATGTGGCATTCTTGGCTGTTTCTGTGACTCCCAAATCTCAATGTGGAATAAAATCCAAACTCAAACATTCATCCAGCTCCCCGAGCTGCTCAAGCCAACACTGAGGGATCCCAAAATCTCCACAGTGTCGGTGCTGGAGCAAATAAAGGCAGCTGTCATAAACCTCATTTCTCAACTGCAGTGTATTTTGGAGGGCATTGTTGGACAATAGTATTTTGTGAGAATCCATGATCATTGTGATGTGTCGGAGGGTTTCATTCCATACATTTTCTAGAATATTTATATGGACGAGATTACAGTCGTCTTTTGCATCAACCAATATTTCAACAGCAATACATATGATCCACGTCGGTCAAAGCTAAAAGATGGACAATTTACAGGTCCTGACGAAGACATTAACGTAGCAGAAGGTCGGTTTGTACATTCACAGGAACAAACTGGAACACTACTGCCTCCACCGGTGTGATAAAAACAAGAAATCCCAGGCAAGTAGTTGACTGTCCCGAGCCTTGATCCTATCTGAATGATAAATGTGCACCAGGACCCACATTGACATCCACGCAGAGGCTCCAAATGAAATAGAATTAAACACAAATGCAGTGTAAGTCTTTTTTTTTTAAGATAAGCATGTTGCTGCCGTATCAACTTAAAATGGCGAAAGCGCACGCCTGCCACATCAAGTCCATTTATATTAAGTCTCAATTGTAGCGTGAGGTGATTGCATTTATTATTAATGGGTCCGACTAAAAGCCTGAGGTGTGATCTCTGGTGGGACTCAAACCGGCAGGTTTTGCAGTGAAAAAACAGTAGCGGCTGACACCGAAACGCAAGTTAGGCAATAACTCTCTTAACGATTAAAATTTCCCTGATTAGGCCTGGTATAGATTTTTATTCTGTCTTCTGATCTTTGGTAATAACCTCCTTCCTCATACTTTTGAACTCCAACAGCGACCGGCCTCATCCTAACCATCAAGCTATATGTTGTGATGTAATGGCTTTGACATTGTGGGATACGACCCGTGTCTTTAATGGAGACAGATAAGTACTGCCAAGCATGCTATTACCTGGCATATTGGCTGGCCTCTTGTAGGGGATTTGTCATGAATCTCATTTGAAGCATGCAGTAGCCACGGCGGACATGCGGCCCATCGCGAGCTTAAGCTGTCTTCATGCGTGACAGACAGCTCAGTCATTCTGGTCCCAGATAAAATATTAACTTTACTGGTGAGAGGAGGTCATTTTTAGATATTTTTGTGACTCAGAAGAGCAAAATTGATCTCTTGATTCCAAGAGAGGAACTGATTCCTTTTATTCATTTCTTAGAAACTGTATCCTCTAACATACATCATTTGGACTGATTGGGAAAGTGTAGCCTGCCTCCAGACCTCTTTGTCTTCTACAACACTGATGTGTTTGGGGGGTTTAAACGAATACAATTAAAATAATTAGCAGCTCAGTGTGATTATCAAAGGGAATGTTATTAAGAGAAAAGGCAGTGCTTTCCATTCATTTGTGGCACAGCCTACACAGTTAAAGGATATTCAGCTTGACATAACGGTAAAATCCGTCTAACTTCAAAGGCAGAGTCGTGGGACGATTGAAGATGGAAGATTTCAGTGCTTACTGGTGGACGAATGACCCACACACCGTTTCTAAATGAGCCGAAAACAAATCTTTGACATTTCTTGACTGGCAACAATTTCTTGTAACGTCTTTGGCGACATACATTGATTTATTCTGCAAAACATGTTCCGCTGATATTGACTACGGTCTCATAATCTGAAGTTTTTGCTTTAAATTAAAAGGGTTTTGAGTGAATCTGTACCTTAAGTCTTCTTATGCATTGTAGTAGACAGGTGAGTAAACAACAGGAAAATGTTATGGATTCTTGCATAAATAATAGCTGCGTTTATGACTTAATGCATCCATCCTAATGGAAATAAAACTCTTTAAAAGGATGCAAGTTTCCCATCTAAAGCCTATCAATATCTATGAGTCACATCCCCCCGCTCTCAGAGCTGGGGGGTTAAAAGCTTTCCGGACACAATGGCTGCAGCACTTTTCCTGTGTGCTGCCTCGGTTCTCCTGCCCTCGTCAGAGCCCTTCAAAAGGGCTTTGTGCTTAACAAGTGAGGTTTTAAAATATGCTGTTGACCCGGCACATTGCCATAGATCTGATGCCAGTCAGACTGATGGATCCGGCCTTTAACAGAGGCAGCATTCAATTTCCGACATAATCACCAGCCTACGATGTTAAACTATAACCACTTCCATCAAGCACGTGGAGTTTGGAGTGGAAGTTGCTCACAGTTTGAACGGTGTGAAAGATTGAAGTAAGCAGGGACAAAGCCAAAGATGCAGCATTGATCCGGCGTGATGAGTGTGGATGAAAAAGAAATTAGTCTGAGTGTAAAGAACTAATCCATTATTGCAGTCGAGTGCCTCGAGTTATACCTCTGTTAACTCATTACTGAATGTGTTTACATTTTGAGATTTATGTGATTGAAGCCACTCTATTAGGACAAGATGACCAACAATAAGTGATGGGGGGACACAGAATACGACTCCTGTCTATTTCACATTTATATTTCATGTCTTAAGAGGGTTAGTGGCTAATTTGCCAGTAAAAATAGGACAGACTTTAATTGGGAGTTAATAGATGGTAGAAGCTGTAAGAACCTTTTTTTTAACCATCCACATTGATTCCTTTTACCTCTTGTCGAACTGTCTTCATGGTGGCAAATGTTTAGTAAAGTATAAGAAAATACAGTCCTTTAAAACCAACTTCTTCAGCAGTTTCATCCTCATAGTTTCACATACATGTATTAAACATTCCTCGACTGATAACATTTTGTTGGGCACCTAATGTCCTTAAAGAGAAGCCTGAAAATAATTTCTGCAAACACAAAGAGAGAGGACGGAGGAATGAATTTGGGGTTAGGGCTGTTTCACTGTTTTCCATCATTATTTGACTTCTGGTTATTTTAAGGCGGTGAAATTGGGCTTGATGATGCAACAAGGTCATTCTTAGCAACCCCCCCTGCCCCCCACGAACCGTGGTGCAGTAAAAGCTGGAGGAACATTCAAGCTCCTGGGAGATGCTTTGTTTTATTTGGGACAAATTTGATACTTTGTGGTTGTGAATCAATCTACCAAAACAGCATATTTCGTCTTGCTTGATTTAAATATGCTCTGCGAACTGCTGAGGTAACAGTACGTTTCCCAATAGTTGATCTGAGTCAACATCATGGATGGACTTGCTTTACTATATATTCTCAATTACATGCAGTATCTGCTTTCACCAAAACACCACCCCCTCCCTCCCCCCCCTTCCCTTCCCTTTCGGCAGTCACCACACGACCCTCAATTATCATGTTTCTGGTAAGTGTCCGAGATCTCGCTCTGGTCCTCTGCTAAATACAAGACGGTGCCCTCTGTTACACCGGTGGGCTATGTTTACAAGTGAGACAGGGAGAGACTGCAAACAGCCTTTGTAATGTCCCCCAGATGAAAGAAAAACAGTATCAGTGGTCTTTATCTTACTCAAGTGACAGTGATATATTCACAGGCTGGCTTCCTTTCCATCGGCTTAATATACAGGGTTCAAGCTGGAAGATGAACATTGGACTAAAAACAGCATCTCCCGCTCCATTAGACCTGTTAGGATATGCAGAAAATGTTTCTGATGTAACGGGCATGAAGTGGCCTCTGAGGGCCAAACAGAGGCTTGTTAACGCGGAGTCAGTCGGTGGTTATCCAGAGAGAAAGTCTGTTCCAGACAAGAAGGCACAGCTCCACTGCGACACGATTTCAAACCTAAGCTGCACTTCCTTTCTTCTTGTTGTGTTTCTGGGACACTTTTGCAGGCTCCTTCCTCCAGTTAGCTGCGCGTGTAATTAGTATTTGCACCATACACAAGGCCTGCAAATCGGCCACTGAGTGAA